TGTTGTTGTTGCTGCTGTTGTTGTTGTTGTTGCTGTTGTTGCTGCTGTTGCTGTTGCTGCTGCTGTTGTTGCTGTTGCTGCTGCTGTTGTTGTTGCTGCTGTTGCTGTTGTTGCTGCTGCTGTTGTTGCTGTTGTTGCTGCTGTTGCTGTTGCTGCTGCTGTTGTTGCTGCTGCTGCTGCTGCTGCTGCTGCTGCTGCTGTTGCTGTTGCTGCTGTTTCTGATGTTGCTGTTGCTGTTGCTGTTGCTGCTGCTGCGGCTGGCCAAACAAACTTCCTGTGGTTGTACCCAAGACCCCAGTGCCCGCAACTTATTGTTTATTGAATTCAATGTCACATTTGTAATCATGGTATTTTTTTGGAGAAAACGGCACTCTTCGTGTGAAATTGAATAACTATATGAAGTGGTATAAATATATAAATGTTCTGCCATCATGTCTTGAATTTGTGCTCATTCTAAATGCATTTTAATAGCCTGGATCTTGCAGTGAAAGAAAACGCACTAAATGCGCACACGCACTAGTCTAGACTTCACGTAATGTATGCGTGCGCTCTGTAGGGATGTTTTGAATGCTTTTTGCAAAATACTCGATAATGTCAAATCGCACATCGTTAAAACAACAATTACGATATTATCGCAGACGATATATATCGCACACCCCTAGGTGTAGCTATATTTAAAGGAACAGTTCACCCAAAAATAAAAAGTTAATTGATGGACTGGATTGGTGTGGATTATTAGAGCAGTGATTCTCATTTTTTGACTCCACAATATTCAAAAGCCCTCCCATCTAAAGCTCATTAACTGCATCAAAAATGGTGAAACCCCTTAAAGGGATAGTTCACCCAAAAATGAAAATGTGATGTTTATCTGCTTATCCCCAGGGCATCCAAGATGTAGGTGACTTTGTTTCTTCAGTAGAACATATATTATGTAAACACAAACTTTTATTTTAAACGTTTGACAGCACTACTATACAATGTGCTTTCCTCATGAAACTGTAACTACACATCTGACTGCAAACACCATCGTTCTCCACTGATGACTGTCCAAAAATGTCTGTGTATTGTGATAAAATTTTTTATTTTTTTTGCATACGTTTAAATATGATATAAATAGCAGTCAGAGACAGGATAGTTTCTGCACACTGCAGATGAAGATGTAGGTCAGGCCTGTCTGTCTGTGATGCAGAACACAGAACTGAATTGTACAAAATCTAAATCATGCTGCTGCCTCCTGATCTCCTCAGACTGCAGCATGCATACATATTAATGCTGTGGTATTATGTTGATATTTCAGATTGCAGATCTGTTTCCTAGGATTACTTAAGACACACTAAGAGTTTCCCTTTGAGATGCAGAATTTATGTGAGGAGAGTATTTAAATGAATCATGCAAGGTGATTTATTAAGCTCATTTGCGCAGCTCTTGGTTGATTGTGTTCTTTAATTTGCTCTTTGCCAGTAGATCAGCCACAGAACAACCACTCTCATCAGGGCTTTTATGGGTTTGCGGTCTCATGCTAATTTGCCCTATTTACTAAATCTGGCCCTAAGTCCGTAATCATACTGTTCAGCCATTATTATAACATTATTGACATTGTTTATACTGTATAGCCAGAGGAGAGCTGGGCCCCCTGATGGAGCCTAAGGTTGTTTTTCTCCATTATCCAACATCAAGTAGAGTTTTTCATTGCTTGCCACATTCGTCATTTGGTTTGCACACCGGGGGACTAAAGATAAGTGATAAGGCATGCTTTTCTATTAACTTCTTGATGAAACTGCTTAGGGGTGTGCGATATGACCAAAACAGTGATGTGATTGAATTATGGCCGAAATCCACTTAGTTTGTACTTACTGGTTAGTGGAATTAGTCACCCAAATATAACATTTCTGTCATTATTTACTCGCCTCCACGATGAAGCAAAATCCATGCATTGCTTGTTTTCCATCATTTGTTTTTCAAGTGGAATTTTTGAAAGAATCTATTCATATGAACTGCATTTCAAAAAGTCAGCTGCGTAAAAGATTCGTCAGATTTTCTCCTTTTGTGTTCTAGGAAATCTGAGAATACGGGTTGATGGAATGGCGTGAATAACTGCAAGCTTTTAGAAGAGCATCGTACTGTTGTGCAATCTAGCTCTGCGTCATATGATCCAACAGCAAAACAAATCATCTTTATTTGGTGCTAAGCACAGAAATCTGGTCAAGTACCATTGAGTGAGTGCTTGCACCATTGTTATTCAGGACAAAACAAGAGTGTTTTCTAGGATTGTTTTAATACCAAGACTGTGAAATCGCATTTTCCACTCAAACCATTGCATTTTGGTGTGAGTTACAGCTCGCTGTTAAGCTGCGTGTTTGTAGAGAATGCTCAGGAACGTCCTAATCTAATCTAGCCTCCATATGTTTCTCTTTAAGAGAGCCTCCCATGCTTAAGACCTTTCGTCTGTGCGATGGTCAGAAATTCCTTGCGTAATTGTATCTTGGCACCTGTCCCTGAGTGTTTGTGGCATTGCAGCTTTAATTCAGTTTTGGCCTTTGACATACTTTAGTTCATTAAATAATAGAGCAGGGATTGAATTGATGTAAATTATATTAAACAACGTGGAATATTCAGAGGTTGTTTTTTCTAAGGCAGGCATCACTTATAGTTCTGTAAGTATTAAACTCGCTACATGAAAACGTGTCTCCTTTTATTCCCTTTTCACTCAAATTATGACTACAGGGACAAATTGTCAATTAATATAGACTTATTTTTGCATGGTTTCTTGCACAATACTATGTTATGACCTCAAAACACTTTTATCACAGTGCATGATTTGTAAACGTATACATTTTGATGTTTCCTTCACATAACCAGCTCCATATGTATGGCTTATTTAAAAAAGTAAAATTGCTCGGTAGCACCTGGTACGCCATTGAGTTTGTGATGCAGGGCGTTTGGCTATGAGTCTCGTGAAACATGAGTTGCGATAAAAGAACTGAAAGACTTGTAGAAGCAAGATACAATAGCATGGTTCCTTCAGGAAGTCTGTTTTTATCTTACCTTTGCCTTTGTTGTGAGATTTCACAAACTTTTCAGAACTTCTACAGTACATCCAACAAATAACGTAATAACTGAACATGCTTTTAGTGCAACTCGATGGAAATTTCCAAACATGCAAGAAGCAGCATAAAACCATTTTGCAGAAATGTCACCACGGGCACATTTTTTAGTAAGGAACCACATAGAAACAACTGCACAATAAACTTGCTGTGTGAAGATGCATCAAGCAGTTCTGTCAGGACCACTATCGCCAAAGATGATTGACAATTAGCATACAGTTTGGACTGGCGGTATGGTTCCGTTCTGGGCAAGAACTCCCTGCGCATCCATGCAGCCTAGCATGGATGAGAGACGGGAGAGCAGCGTTAACCCCCCAGGCTAAACAGAACAGAACCAACATTCAGTAATGTTATGTACACATTTTAGAATTAGTCTGATTCAAAGGAGAATCAGAAGGCTGAATCCTGACTGACAGAGGAGGAGCTGGGGATGGAGGAGGGTAATTAGCTATTGAGCAATGCGAAAACTGCTGATACTGCTGCGGGACCTTATATATGAATGCTTAGATAGGTGTCGTATTCCTATAGGTTGATGGGGATCAGCTGAGAGTCAGCTGATGCGAGCTTGACTGGTGACCTGCCAGAACTAACGCTACGCTTGATTGTCAGAGGAAATTTAAGAGCTGTGGCAGATTTCATTTTTGTGGAAACCGTAAGTGGATGTGAACTGAACAGCTGAGAATCTCTGTAAAGCATATCGCTGGTGTTATTTCAATCACTTTCATGAAGAGCAGATATTTCCCCTCCTGTTTATTACGAACATAGGATGTGTGTGTGTGTTTTACATCAGCTCTAGAGAGAGTTTGTGGGCTCAAAGTGGTTCAGACACTGGCGTCTAGAGACCCACACTTGTCACTTTGACAATTCAGAATTTGCAACTTGTCAATCAAATGAGTTAAATGTTTGCAGTACTTTGCTAATGTGGTCTGTATGCATCACTCTTGAAGTCCAGTGTCATTATTTAGAAGAAAAAGTCAAAATAGTAGTTCAAAGTTTATGCAAAACTCAAATAAAGAGTTTTAAAAAGGTTAGGAATTACATGAGATGAGGTAAATACATAGATATCAAATGTCATATAGAGTGTCTCAAAGGCACTACAGGCAACAGGGTTGTGTGCCATTCAGAACTGATCTGAGAATGCTTGTAACGTCCCAATTTAATTACTCAGTTTTTATAATTTTTTTAAAAGCCTTTCAAATTTGCATAAAAGCCATCCTAAAAGATGCTTTGTAGATGAATCAGAGTGACTGAAACCATGTCATTGTCAATCAGCGTGCATCCTGTTTTCAGTGGCTGTGCACGAGAAGAACGATCAACTTTTAAGCATGTGATGCATGAGAGTCCCGTGAGCTCATGACACATGCTTGGTTTCTTCAAGATTTTTGAAGTGTTTTAAAATCAAGCTCATTCTTGTTTTTTGTTCTTAGCCCATACATTTCTCTGAAGGCTTCTGCACCTCCATACTTAACCAGAATTAATAAAAAAATAGGTGCAAATTCTAAAACTTTCTTTGTGGTCAGAGCTGTACTGGACAAAAGTGAAGTGAACCTGCAATAGCGATTGAAACTGATACTGCAGTTTCAGTCTGTCTCATGGGCATGCTGGATCTCTTGTGCATCAGGCATAGTGCCAGTCACGAGCCAGTTATGATATTGTGATGCACTGCAATCTATTGAACATCACTTTGTTATATCATATCATGAGATAGTTGCTGATACCAAGCTGTGGTGTGAAATGAGCTCATCAGAGATAATTTAAGACATATGTGAACATCTTAAATATATAGTACACTAATAACAGCACTTTTCTCAGGACATTAGGTGTAATTCCTAAAAAAATTAAAAAGCTACTTCCCTGATCGCCCTGAAGGGTATAATGGTTAGGAAGAATCTGAGATATTTCTTCACAAGCCAAAAAATGGCAAATTGGGCCTAGGCAGACACTGTGATGGCTTTATTAAGCAACTGGTCAGTCGTCAATAGTATCTGGGTCACTGCCTTAAAGGGTTAGTTCACCCAAAAATGAAAATTGGCTTGTGTTTTACTCACCCTCGAAGCATCCTAGGTGTATATGACTTTCTTCTTTCAGACGAATCCAGTCGGAGTTATATTAAAAATGGTCTATCATTGCAGTCAGCGGGTGTTGCAGTGCTTCAGTCCACAAGTCGTCAAATAAAGCTGCGCATTCATAATAAAACGTGCCGCAGACAGCTCCGGGGGATGAATAAAGGCCCCCAGTAGCAAATCCATGAGTTTTTGTAAGAAAAATATCCATATTTCAAACGTAATAAACACTCTTCTCTCACTTCTGCTATCTGTCATACGCGGATCCATTCCGGCGGAAGGCGTACGACGTATGCGCAGCGCGCGCGCCTCTGAGGTATGCTAGTCTCGCGAGTTTGTTTAATAGGAGCAAAGGAAGCAATGTTTCCTTACTTTAGCAAAGGATAACCAGTCTCCTCTTGGTTTATATCGAAATCCTCTGACATTTTTCTTTGTAAATCTTCAGTTTGTACTTCTAATTCGTGACCGGCGTTTTGTTTTGTTGTCTCTCCGCATTCGTCACTAATCACGTAACGCCGCGCGTCTTTCGTCATCCGCCAGAACTGCTTCAGTGTATGACGGTCAGCGGAAGTGAGAGAAAAGTGTTTATTACGTTTGAAATATGGATATTTTTCTTACAAAAACTCATGGATTCGCTACAGGTGGCCTTTATTCATCCCCCGGAGCCGTCTGCGGCACGTTTTATTATGAATGCGCGAGCTTTATTTGACGACTTGTGGACTGAAGCACTGCAACACCCGCTGACTGCAATGATAGAGCTTAGAATAGCCGGGGCAATTTTTAATATAACTCCGGCTGGATTCATCTGAAAGAAGAAAGTCATATACACCTACGATGCTTCGAGGGTAAGTAAAACACAAGCCAATTTTCATTTTTGGGTGAACTAACCCTTTAAGGAGAGATGAGACATTGATGTTGCCTTTGCCAGCTGGCTGTAATGGTAGTATAAGGCAGGCTTTGTTACCACTTTCTTTGCAAAGGGAAATGAACCCTCTACCACTGGCGCAGCCATGCAAACATATCGTGCCAGTCTTGGTGACATTTGTGGTCAAACACATCCTTTCTTGCATGCTGCAAGGTGTAGCATTCTGCATCAGATATCTCAAGTCACATGGTTGCATTGAAATGTCTAAACAACATCTTCAGTTCTCTAGTATAACAAAAACAATGCTTGTAACGAACATTTTCACCTCAATATGCACTATATATGTTTGTGCTGAGGTCATGCATTCAAAACCTAGGGAATGCATGCATTGAATGCAATGTAAATGGCTTTGCCCAATGCATAAATGCATTTATTAATTAATAGTAATTTATTTAATTAGTATTATCATGCCAATCTACTGCCAGAGCACTGCGCTGTTGTGCTGCATGAAAGCAATGGAAAAATCATGGTCGTGCAAATCTTAATGACTGGAAATCTCATATGTCTGGGGGAATTAAGATAAGAAACCATATGTTTGTGTTTGAAAGGTTTTTGTGAAACTTAAGCAGCTTAGACCAGCTAAGGGGTCTTCAGAGGCCTGTGACTTTCTGGTCTTGTGATCTGGATCACAAAAGAAGGACTTGTCTACTGGATACTGAGGAACAGCATGATGACCTCAGAATGTGCAGAGAAACATTTGTAAATATTTCAACAAGTTTATTATGAGGTCAGACCTGTGCCCCAGGTTCTTATGTGCAAATAAGGGAGGCATGCAAAATGTGCAGATCTGTGGATCCCCAGGACCAGAGTTGAGGACACTGATGGACTCATCTAAACCCTTCACTTCAGAACAGTCTCACTTCTCTAACCAAGATCTTCTTAGTGCTGGATGAAAGGATGTCCTCACCTCATAGCATGCCTGAAAATAGGTATTTTGACAATCATAATTCCACACACCTGAACCGGCTTATCAAAGAGAACCTCTAGAAGCAGAGATTGTCTTACTATAGGGAGATTAGAGGGTCTGTATTACTTACTATTGGAGAAAGCGTAACGGCTAACTTGGATCACGTGTTGTGTAATAACCAATCACAGTACAGCCTTGACGTCATTGAATATCAGTCAGAGCTGTGCGACACTCAATCGCTGTTTACGGATCCTGGAGCAGGGAGTGAAAGAACAGGGCAGCTTTTTTCTTTGGTAAATAAGAAGAAATGATAGAGAGAAAGAGGCTGCTCAGTCTGCATTTGGCAGCATTGGCAAGCACATGCAGATGGCCAGGCTGTTTTTGTGGGCCTGAATAATCAAACACTGTTGGAGCAGGGAGTGAAAGAACAGGGCAGCTTTTTTCTTTGGTAAATAAGAAGAAATGATAGAGAGAAAGAGGCTCTCAGTCTGCATTTGGCAGCATTGGCAAGCACATGCAGATGGCCAGGCTGTTTTTGTGGGCCTGAATAATCAAACACTGTACTGTCACAGAGTTTCGCTTTAGTTGACATGTAATGTAATGTAAAAGAACATACACTGTATTACTGAGGAAGTACTGCACCCATATAAACATTTATCAGAGACGTCCAATGTCCAACTATACTGTCCTAGAATAGAAAGTTCTTCACAAATGGGACTGTTTGCTAAAATGTATTTGGCCCTGTACTTTTGTGTAGATAAGCATGTTCTTTTCTTTGTTTATGGACATGATGTAAATATCCAACGCACTACAGATGGCTGGAATTTCCTGCTAGAGGGAAACCTGGCAGCTTTGAATTCAAATTTAAATTCCAGGCTTTATTTTAGGCATACTGTAGTGACGCAGAGCAGGATAATAAATCGTTGTTGAGAAAACACTTATACAGACTTTTAACAGGAATCAGGTATTTTGTTAGAGGGTGAAAAAAAAGTTGCCCAAGCAGATTTCACTCATGTTCAAGTCAGTCGCATGAGTTCACTGCATTGGCCAACAGAAAGCTGCTGGAAAGTGACTTCTGTGCAAGTGGTGCTTCATGGCACACACACACACACACACACACACCACCACCACGATCCATGGCTACCGTGGCAACAAGCCCAGTGATGGAGGAATTGAAAGCCAGTGTCATGCATTGGTTAATGAGCTTTAAAAAAAAGGCAGGGTTTCCCTCTCTGAAAAAACATTTATAATTCCACTTCTCCAATCAAGCCATTTTTGCTGAGTTGCATTTCCTCCTGTTACATATCCATCTCATGTTCTGTTCCTGCCTAATGTATGCTGCACCTTCAGATCGGAGCTCTCTTCAAATTAAACCGGCTAAATCAGTTGGTGTCTTTCAATAATTTTAAAACACTTATGCACGCAATAGAAAATGATCTAATTAATTGCAAATGCTTTTAATGCTGTACTTTTATTGATAGTTTATTGTTGTTTGTTATATGTGACCCTGGAGCACAAAGCCAGTCATAAGCAGCACAGGTATATTTGTAGCAATAGCCAACAATACATTGTATGGGTCAAAATTATAATTTTGTCTTTTTTGTCAAAAATCATTAGGGTATTAAGTAAAGATCATGTCTAATGAAGATATTTTGTACATTTCCTACTGTAAATATATTAAAACTTCATTTTTGATTAGTAATATGCATTGCTAAGAACTTCATTTGGACAACTTTAAAGATGATTTTCTCAATATTTTGATTTTTTTGCACCTCAGATTCCAGATTTTCTCAGTTGTATCTCAGCCAAATATTGTCCTATCCTAACAAACCATACATCAATGGAAAGCTTATTTATTCAGATGATGTAAAACCCTTATGACTGCTTTTGTGGTCCAGGGTCACATAGGTGTATTTGTATAACTGGGCCACCTATCTTAGCCAGGACACTCCTGTAAAAGAGATTTTTAATCTCAGTGAGGTTCTTTCCTGGTTAAATAAATAAAAATAATGCCAGTATTCCAGCATTGGTGTTGTGTGGAATGTAATCGAGCACATGAAGACAAGTCCTAATGCTATTATGTGGTCCAGCGAACAGGATTACGGATTGTAGTGGTTTTCGTCACTGGTTTTCTTGTAAGTGTTTCTCCACCCCAGCATTGCTTACGTAAGCCGCATTCAGTGGGAGGATGGTGCTTACATAAAAGCCTCCACAGCGGTGGGACGGAGGGGGTGGGACTTAGGCTCAGGAGCGTGCATGATGCAGTGAATGAATGCCACTTGACTCGCCCTCTGATCCGTAACTGAGTGCGGGACAAAGGCCTCCTGGAGAGCTCACAGCTCCTCAACGCTGAGGCTCCTCTCACTTCCTCACTGCATGGTGAGTAAGATTGTGAATCAGTCGTTTCTTTGTTGCATTGGTGTATGCTTTATGTGTTTGGTTGGGGCCAGTCCATGAGTCAGTTGTGTGCTGAGGTCTTGATGAGTTATCATATGCATTCACTTGCATCAGTGCAAATAAAGGAAGGTGGTGTGATCAGAATGTTGTATTGGCCGGTATTGATCATTTTATATCATAGTAAACTGTGTATACAAAAGTTTGAGGTCGGTAATATTTTTGAAAGTACTTTATGCTCACCAAGGCTGCATTCATTTGATCAAAACTATAATAAACCTGTGCAAGTATCATTATTATTATTGAAAACAGTTGTGCCGCTCAGTATTTCTGTGGAAACTGTGAAACATTTCAGGATTCTAAAAACAACACTTATTTGAAATCGAAATCTTTTGTAACATAAATGTCTTTACTGTCACTTTTGATCAATTGAATGCATTCTTGCTGAATAAAAGTATTAATTTCTTTCAAAAAATAAAGAAATTAAAGAAATCTTGACCACAAAATTGGAATATTTGTATATTTTATTTGACCAGAAATTCAATAGAAATGGTTTATGTATCAAATAAACACACTGAAACGAACTCTATTACTAGTAAATTTCACAAGTAAGTAGAAATAATCAGCAAGTAACACTTTGAAATTTTAAGGTTCAACATGAAATTTTGAAGTAGAAAGCATTTTCTTGCTAAACATACTATTTTTTTATTTATTTACAACTTACTGTAAGAAAATGTTTTGTTTACGGTGCATGTGGTAATGCCTACATTTAGAAAACCCAGTAAATAAAACAAATTCATCTCATTTCTTTATTTTCTCTTTTATTTTAAACTTGATGGCTGCAAACCAAAACATGCGTAACCAGACTAACATCAGTGTAAAAACAGCTTAGTGTTACGTTACGTACCACTTGAGTTCTGAACAAAAGATTGCTATTAATATTATATGATAGACAGTTTGGACTCTAAATTCTGATGGAATGAGCTACCTTTAAACCTGGCGTAAAATAGCTGTGTAAATAACACAAAGCAGTCCTATATAACCGTTGGGTAAATGTACCGCTGTATAGTATGGCAAAATCTCTCCCGTCTGTCACTGCGTGGTAGATACCCTGAGAACAGGTCTTGAGTGTATTGTGAAGGGTCTTCCTCTGACCCCTCACACAGAGGCCTTTCTTGCGCTGACAGTCTCTTTCAATGGGCCGGCTGCTCTTTGTGGCTCACCGCTATAGTGGAGTGATTTCTGTGTGCATCCCATCCTGTCATCCTGCCCGGGAACATGGGATTCTTCCCTAGAAAACTCCCTTCTTTCCTACAAGAGGAAATGGAGATGAGCTTGCTGTAGTTCCTAATAATGTGAACCATCCTTAAGAATTCAAGCTTGCATTTTCAGGGATTTTCTGGCTGCTTGGTTGAGCTCAAAGTGTCATTTTCTTCAGGACTTATCTGCTTGCTTAGAGGTAATCTACACCCAGAAGTTGACTAAATTAACTATGCTTTAACCTTAGCACATATGCATGTTTAAAATGTAATCATCTTCTTCCGAGACCGAAGCGTTTATGTTGTGCCGCATTTCTAGTTTGTCTTTTGAGGGGCTTTCCTTTAGTCACAGCATGTGGCGGATATAGTTCAGTCTGAAATGATCTCATATCCTGTCAACTTTTAGATCTTGACTTAATGAATCCAGGATGAATAGAGACTGTGGAGAAACTAGACACTGTCACATCAATAAAGGAATCAAAGCGTATTGAAATGCACAGATAATTTTAGCAGCGGAAGACGCTGCACAGAGACCAGCTCTGTTCCCAGCTTCATTTCCATAGACATTTGGCTCATGGATTTGATTTGAGCACAGGATGCACCAGCATGTGTCCACCACCTTGCCTACAATCATACTATTCATATGCACATTTTCAGTCAAAAGTGCATTACCAGCATTTTAGTGCTCTGTCCTAATAACTCATTTCAAAAGTGCCATACAGATTAAAACAGTAAGACAAGGCTGTGTGGAACAGAGTGCCTAAGACCCATTTGGGTCATATATTTGAGCCAATTGGTTTTTACTAATTGTAAAACTACTGTAAAACTGTTCCACTACTGTTGCAAAAGTGTATTTTGACAGTGATGCCATTGAAGAACCTTTTTTGGTTCCAGGTAATCAGTTCTTGAAAAAAAACATTCATTTCTTAGTGTGAAGAACATTTTAATAATCTAAAAAAAAACTTTTTCCACTATAAAGCAGCATTTGTGCAATTAAAAGACTCCATCGATGTTAAAGGTTCTTCGTGATCCAGGAAAAAACCTGTATTTTTTGTTTTTTCAAAATGAACATTAAAGGAATAGTTCATCCAAAAAGGAAAATTCTGTCATCGTTTACTCACTCTCACTTGACGGTAGCCATTGATTTCAATAGTAAACTGTTTGGGTTCCAACATTCTTCAAAATATCTTCTTTTGTGTTTAACAGAAGAATGAAACTCATTCAGGTTTGGAACGAGTAAATGATGACAGAATTGTAATTTTTTGGGAAAAAACTCAATTTAATATGGTAAAAGACACCAATGTTCAACATTTGTTATTAATAATAATTACACATGATACAGTACAGTATTCTGACCACAGAGCTTGGCAATATGGCCAAAATGTTATATCACTTTAGGAGTCATTTTATCATGGCAAATGTCACAGTGATTATTGCTATATTATACTGTATTATCATGGTATACTTATTTTTAATGGAAACTCAAAGAAAATATGGCTTATATTTTAATAAACATATAGTTTTTGCCTGTTTTAGTAACCTTGTAGAAATGTTTGTGCCTGTTGATAATTCAGTGAATTAAATCTTTTTTATTTAATTGAAAAGCGTTTTTGCTTATTTTTTTGTCTTTTTATTTAAAACTTGATGGAAAACGATAAGATTATTCATAACTGAACTGCAAAAACAAAATGGTTTGTGTGAGTTTTATGCACAATTCTAACCTTGGGCACACAGTCACTTGTTTAGAATTCATTAACATTAGAACGAGGTTAAGACCAGATTCTGTTGTGAATCTAATGAAAGAATGTTTATGATAAATTCTCCTGTGTGTATAAGTATGAATAATACATGTGATTATTAGTGAATGGCACCCAATAGTATAGTATAAAACTCTCAAACTAATATTATAATTCCTCGGTGAACTCGGTTTTCACTGCATTGCTGCAGGAATTTCAGCAGATCTATTGTCTCTCTCACTTGGACAAGCCTTAATACTTCAGTAACTGAAAAGTTAGGAGCTGATTTTATGTTCTCTGCACGTGCATGGTCTTGGTAATTGAGCTCTTGCTCATGAATGGACTGCTCACGGTGCAGAAGAGTTAAGCTGAGGGACTGTGACTGTGGTTTCTGAGTGCTGTGAGGTGGATTAATGAGCGCAGACGTGGACTCCTGCACACCAGCACTAGAGTTTCTGACCCTGTGTGTCCCTCGTTTCTCCAGGTGTGGGTGTTGAACGGTGAACTGCTTGCTAGGACTGGCAGCGTCAAACTGCTGTTAACATCAGCTATAAAGAGGTCATCGGAGGCAAAATTCACTTTTACAAGTTGTTTGAACTGAAATGTGTGTAGGCAGTTTGTGTACACAACCACCCTATAACTATAAAAATCCACCCAGTGGTATTTTTTAAATCTCTATAAATAATATCCTCTTTTTCGAATCAAGCCGTTCTCAGATGCCTGTCTGTGTGATGTCACACAGACCCAGGCCCCTCCCACGACACTAGCGTTTTACCTTAGCTCCGCCCTGAGTGAGCTGTCATCAGTCCACCATTGTTTCTATGCCAGTGAAGAATGGCTCCTAAGCGATTGAGGTGTTTTGTTGTTGGATGTAATAATGAACATAGCAGTCGTCATTTACTCCCGACATCTGAGCCGCTGAAGACGCAGAGGATTAGCTTTGTTTCTGATGGGAATGCGCCTCCCGATCTACATAAATGCGTCTATGTTCGCGCGAATCATTCGTGATCCAGCTTCACCAACAGAAGAAGTGAGTATAAGGTTTTTTTAATGAATCTTTGCAAATCGCCTTTCCTAATAACGTGCTAGTTAGCAAGTTCCGCGCCTAAAGTTTACCGTCTCTCAGAGAGCGGCTCGTCACCCCACAGAAGAAAGGGGCGGGGTCAGCAGAGCTCATTAGCATTTAAAGAGACATGCAACAAAACGGGTTGCTGTGAACAGAGCTGTTTTTGACAGGGTAAAAAGGGTGTTTTTTACACTCCCTTTGAGAAATTTTAATCAAAGTACGTTATAGACTTTTTAAGACCCTAAAGCATCATATCAACTTGTGGAAAATGGGCATCCGATGACCCCTTTAACACAGCATCAAGAACAAAGCACTTACAGTCTCACGGGACAATCTTTCCTTGATTTTCCAGAAGGTGCAAAGCTGCTAATTTCTGGGTTTTCAGTGGGCACTTGTGAGTAGGGATGTGGCAACACTTTTGGCCAAATGTTGTCATTTATTTATTTTTATATTTGTTTGTGTGTGGTCCGGTTTTAAGTGGGGTAATATTTAGGTCTTGTACCACTCAACTCAATTTGTTTAATAATATTTTGGGTCAAAATTATCCAGACAGACATTTAAGGTAAACCTCATATTGTTTTCTCCATCTTTACAGTGGCTTTAGCAAGTTTTTGGACACTTGAGAATATTTTGGTAAGACTTTATTTTAAGCTGTCCTTGTTTCAGTGTATTATGCATTTAAGTACTGAGTAATATTAATTAACTACATGTACTTACTTACTATATGCTTAGGGTTAGGGTTACTTGCATGTAATTATGCATCATTTATTGTTATTATAATAGTAAGTACATGTAACAAGGACACCTTAAAATAAAGTGTTACCAATATTTTTGTGTTATTGCTTTAATAAAATAAAGCAAGAGGTGTTGATTTGAAAGAATGACAGAACATGGTGCACCTGCATGGTGCGTAATACTTCACAAAGAGAAGTTTGTTGGATTTTAAAATCACAAAACAATAGATATAGTGTGAAAATGAATAGAAAATGAACTACACCTGTGGTTATTCTACTTCAGTCCGGCACTAAAAGCACCATCACGTCCGTTGATTAAGAGTGATTGAAAAAATGTCTCCGAAAAGTACAGAAAACTCCTGTCATTTGCTTGCAGATGACATTTGGTTTGAAATGTGACATTCTGACATTTTTACATGATCTAAGTATACAAATCCTTTTTGAGAGCAATCGGTCTGTCTGTAAACAACTATTTTAAAGATTATCCAGCAACAGAGAACAGCCTTCTTGCCTAAAAGTGCATATTAGTGTAATTACAGGCTAATAGACATCAATGCTAATTAATTTCTCACTGACAACATTGAATCATAATTAATGTGTAATTATAGTTTAGTGTATGATGACAAGTAGCAAACACTAATTAACTAGCGGACTATATTTTTATACACAGTCTAATCTATATACTGTATATACTGTATATCTATATGGCTGGACAACTTGGCAAACAAATTATGTTGTTATTGTGATTTGAACCAACCAACACTGAAGTTACTGTATAAATATTGATGTTTTAAATTAGAGCTTTAAATTTAACATGTCAGATCCTGAAGCTGTTATTTTGGTGGAATATTGGTGAAACGCTGTAAACGTCTTTCCACAAAAATGTTGGAAATGATAGGATTGTGAATGTAAAACACGCAGCAGAGCCGGCTATATGATTTACCTTTGATTTGATATTGTGATATCATGATATATCGCTATTTCGATTTTATTTCAATTACTTGTGCAGCCCCATTTGTTCCCCGTGAGGCAAACGCTGGTGTAAATGACAGCATCTTCTTGTGTCCTGCAGGTCTGAGTGTTTGCTAAGTGCACTGAGCCATAAACAGGCTTCCCGTCTGGATCTCTGCCATCGCTCTCGTCCCTGGATCCTCAGGCTGAAGAACGCCACCATCATCCCCGATCGGACCTTTGAAACGTGAGGCTTGTGCCCCGTCCAGAAGCGCCAGAGCCCCTCAGGGCCCACGGGCACAGCGGCACTTTAGGACTGTCTGCAAGTCATGAGTGAATTTTGGTTGTGCTTCAACTGCTGTATCGCCGAGCAGCCGCAGCCGGTAAGATTATCATCACCTCCAGCCTCCAAACCACAGAAACCGGGATGAAATCACCTGCTCATGCCTGTTCCCCTGCCGGGTTCCCAGTTACCCCTTTGATATTCTACATCTGTCTCTCTTTTAGTCTTCTGTTAGACTTCGAGTCCCCTTATAATGTTAGTCAAGGTTGCTTCGACCATAAACGTTTGACCATTTTTATATTATGTGTCTTTAAGTACTATGCATGTAGAGTATAGAATTAAGCATTTGCAACAATGCAGATATGGTCTGCATACAGTACATGTTGTTCTGCAAAATTCTTGCCAGATTTACATTTGTTGCTATTGAGGTTGTGATGTGTTTTTCGGTCGGTCAAGTATCATGTGCATAAACTCTTTATGTGATTACATGCAGGTAATTTAACCCTGTAAAGTCTGACATATGAAATAATATACTTTTTTTAATGCAACAGTTTATTAAACCTTTAGACAAATTAAAAAAAAGAAAAGAAAAGAAAAAAATTTTAGTTTAGGGACCGATTCTTACTATTAACTAGTTGCATATTAGCATGAATATTGCTAATATATCGGCTGTTTATTAGTACTTATAAAGCACATATTAATGCCTTATTCTGCATGACCATATTTTAGTTTCCTTAATCATAACTCATACCTAAACTTAACAACTGCCTTGCCAACTATTAATAAGCAGCAAATTAGGAGTCTATTGAGGCAAAAGCCATAGTTAAGTGTTAGTTAATAGTGAGAATTGGTGTGACGAAAACTTTTGTATAGATGTTTTTTGTTGTGTAATATTTGAGGATTGGCCAACCATGTCTTCAGACCTAAACCCTATTGAGCATCTCAAGGTCTCTAGCATCCACCAGCTCTGTGATGTCATCATGGAGGAGTTGAAGAGGACTCTAGTGGCAACCTGTGAAGCTCTGGTGAACTCCATTGTCCAAGAGGGTTAAGGCAGTGCTGGAAAATAATGGTGGCCACACAAAATATTGACACTTTGGGCCCAATTTGGACATTTTCACTTAGGGGTGTACTCACTTTTGTGGCCAGCGGTTTAGACATTAATGGCTGTGTGTTGAGTTATTTTGAGGGTACAGCAAATTTACACTGTTATACAAGCTGTACGGTCACGGGGGGAGCGAAATCTGACGCGTTTGTTTTTTCACAAGCTTGCAGAGAAAGGCTTACCAAAAAATTACTGGGTTAATCTTTTTCACGTTTTCTGAGTTGGTAAATGCACTGGGGACCCGATTATAGCACTTAAACATGGAAAAAAGTGAGATTTTCATGATATGTCACCTTTAACAGAAAATCTGCTCGTAAAGACACATCATGGCACACTATTCATGTCTTAGGGCATGATGGCGCTCATACTGGGTGAGAAACAACTTCCAGTTTGCATACATCCATAGAAAACAATGTGTTCTAATTATAGGACTGAGATGCATCCGGATTCTCACCTCTTTAGAATCATTTGGCCTAAAGAAGGTATTTCAGAAAGCCAGCATAACCTTCTGCTTTTGGTGCATGACTATGATGTCTTCAAGTACTGCCTAAGTTGGAAGATCTCACTTAATGCCCAAATGCATTGTGTAGTCTTCATTGTATGAGTTAAAAATGTGTGATAAAAAGGGAAGGTGCTTAATCGGTGACCTTTCTCTGGTGTGCGTTTCCTCGCAGCTCAGTGGAGCGGTGTTGTGAAATTGCAGTAATAAGAGGTTTTGTCCATTATATTGATTTCTGCTGACAGATCCTGAGGGCCACACGCTGCGCTCCTAGCAACTCACATGATCCCATAACTATTAGGACAGTAAATACAACCACACACAGATTAACAGTTAATCGAAGACTTGAAAGCCAGGGATTTAGAGTTTTGAACATATAACAATATAACAAAGGCCACCTGATGAATATTAAAAATGAGAAATTGTTTCACAGCAAACGTACATGGTTGTTACAGTAACTTTACATTTTACTTTGGAGTCCACTGAATGTTCAGTTCTTAAATTATTTTAGATAATATGTTGCTATTTTTTGTCAGTCACTGTAGGAAAGTTGCAAAAAAACCTTCAAAGCCTTTCAATTATATATTATTTTAATATTCAGTGATGGCTGAGAGTGAAAACTGGCCTAGTATTGATAAGACTTTTATAATTAATAAATTTAGTGTGGCGTGTTATAATTTATTTTCCTAGTATTTAATATCAATATTCTTCTTTTGAAAAAAAAAAAAAAGGATTTCATGAGAATATTTGGCTAGCACAGGAAACTGTGCTGGCGATGCATAGAGAGCAACCGAAGTGAATAAAAACAGTTGATAACCATATTAAATTAAAACATTTTAGAAGCTTTTTTGACTTTTTTGTCAGATGGGCTTAAAAGAAGCTCTAGAAAACCTTCTAAAAACACGCTGACCCTCATATAAAAAGCATGTGAATGACATTTAGCTTTGTTGAACTTTAAATTCGAGTCTATTGTGTGAGTTTAGAAGATGTGGAATAAAGTGCATGGTGAGATATAAGGACATTCTTTACATTTTTTTTTCAAGAATTCTTCTTTGTGGTACACAGAAAAAGAAACTGTGTTTGGCATAATGTATGAGTGATAGAATGCTGTCAGAAATTACATTTTGTGGTTTCCTTTTAATTAACTGTTCCTTTTAATATTTTACTTGAGTAGCATAGACATGTGTCGAGTATGTTGATGTAAAACAGCTGCAGCTCTACAGGTCTGATGAATGCAGAAGCGGTGAGCCGTGAAATGCCATCTCCTCTGTCAATGTCCAGTTGTCATAGCAACTGCAGTATGTCACGTCTGACTTGATACTAAGTAAGAGAAGAGTGATGGTTTCTGTCGATGTCTGGCACATTAAGAGCAATCATTGACTTCTAATCTGTTTAGTGAATGAGCCACAGCCAAGTAAGGATTCCCCATCAACTTTGTATTGACTGAGAGGTATTTAAACACACAGTTGTGCTCATAAACTTACATGCCTCTTGCAGAATATGCAAAATGTTAATAATTTTAACAAAATAAGAGGAATCATGAAAATGGCATGTTATTGTTTATTTAATACTGTCCTGAATAAGCTATTTCACATAGCAGATGTTTATATATACTCCACAAGACAAAATAATAACTGAATTTATAAAAATGACCCTGTGCATCTTTATAATCTGTGTTGTTACCTGGATGATCCACGACTGTTTTTCTGTTTAGTGATAGTTGTTCATGAGTCCCTTGTTGGTCCTCAACAGTTAAACTGCCTGCTGTTCTTCAGAAAAATCCCCCAGCTCCTGCACATTCTTTGGTTTTCCAGCATCTTCTGCAGATTTGAACCCTTTCCAAAAGTGACTATGATTTTGAGATCCATCTTTTCACACTGAGGGCAATTGAAGGACTCATACACAGCTATTACAAAGGAAATATTTTCTGATGCTCCAGAAGGCAACACGATGCATTAAGAGCTGGGGGTGTACATTTTTGAATTGGATGATCAGGGTAAATTGTACTTATTTTGTCTTCAGATTAAACATTTAAGTATTTATGTAGCTTCTTAAGTGCAGTACCAACTGAAAAAAAATATGATCTATAAACAAAATAAGAAAAATGTACACATCATCATCCTGTTCAAAAGTTTTCACCCCCCGGCTCTTAATGCATCGTGTTGCCTTCTTGAGCATCAGAAAATGTTTCCATCTTTGTAATAGCTGTGTATGAGTCCTTCAATTGTCCTCAGTGTGAAAATAGGGATCTCAGAATCATACAGTCACCGATAAACACTGATCATCTTTATTTGATGATAAAAACTGCTTGTTTGATGCTTAAAGTAAAACCAGTGTGGTTTTGGTGGAGTGAACTTTAATTGGAAGGTCAGAAATCTCTAAGGCGTCTTTATTTATGTTTCAAAGATGAACGAAAGTCATGAAACGACGTGTGTGAGTAAATGATAACAGTTTTTATTTTTGTGTAAACTAACCCTTTAATGTAAAGCTATAAAGGGTAAAGGAACATTGCTGTTGAAACATGTTTAGATATGTATTCATCTATGTTTGTTTCTTGTTCTGCAGAAGAGGCGGAGACGTATAGATCGGAGTATGATCGGCGAGCCGACTAATTTTGTCCACACGGCCCATGTAGGCTCTGGAGATATCTTCAGTGGCATGAACTCTGTAAGTACATCTAATGTTCAGTAGGGTTGGGAATCGAAAATCAATTCTAGTTCCAGAATCAGATACTTGTTGTCAAATTTAAAACAATTTTAAGGAGGCGAAAAGGGGCTATTAAAAAATTTATTTGTCTTTGAATCATTCATTCAAGAGATTCATTCAAAAACACTGATTCATCCAGTAATGAAACCTGTAAATCTCGAGTGAGTCATTGAATCATTCCATTCATACATTTTGTTTAGTTGTCTAATATTTTTTCTTTGGAATTGTGAGAGAACTACAACCTCCATTAAAAAATATATATATATTTATCCAGAATCGTGCAGCTCTATTTTGCACACAAACAGCTCTCAATGGAGTCCAGTTTTTATGTAGCCGGCTGATTTTTGTTCATAGTGTTCAGCAGCAATTAAATGTTTTGCAAAAAGAGGCACAGAATAAATCTAAATGTTTGACTTAATTTTTAACCACATTGGGAATCAATAAGATTCAGAATTGATAAGCAGAATCGTAATTGGAACTGATCAAATTCAAACGAGACCCAACCCTAATGTTCAGTCATCTCATTGGTTTCACACGTGAAGTCGTCTTTACACTTACAATGCAATTCTGCAGAAAAGTCTCTAAAATATCCAGGCTTTAACCCACTTTATGCCCTAGTATTGCCCAGAACACACAAAACACATCTAAAACGAGAAAGAGCTTTGCGACTGACTGCACAAAGAGATTTGACAAGAAATCTGAGGTATATTTTTACAGACTGTGGAAAGCTACAGAAAAGAGACGCAAATGGATTGCTGCAATTCAAAGAAATAAATGGTAGCGAAACATGGATTTGCAGTTATAATTTCATGTTAATATGTTGAATTTTGCGGTAAAATCATACCCTATATGTTGTGTTGTTATAAGTAGACAACTCATCAATGAAATATAAACTGGATGTTTTTAAATAAACACTGACAAAAAATATATAGGGACATTTTGGGGCTGGACGATATGACGATACAGTATATAACATTGATAGAAGTGATCACACAGATTTAGACCAACCTATTTTGTATTTACAAAATGCATTCACAGGCAAATTTGCTTTATATATTTCCCCGGCATCCAAATCAGGCACATGTCAATTTCAGGACACACGACTCCTGGCTGCATATCAATATCCATGGACCCAGGGGCGTAGCCATCATTTCAGAAGTGAGGGGGACATAAATGTTATATATACAGAAAAAAAAAAAAATATATATATATATATATATATATATCTATATAACCTACCAGTCAACAGTTTTTGAACAGTCTTCTGCTCAACAATCCTGCATTTATTTGATCCAAAGTACAGCAAAAGCAGTAATATTGTGAAATATTTTTACTATTTAAAATAACTGCTTTCTATTTGAATATATTTTAAAATGATTTCTGTGATCAAAGCTGTATTTTCAGCATCATTCCTCCAGTCTTCAGTGTCACATGATCTTCAGAAATCAGTATAATATGCTGATTTGCTGCTCAAGAAACCTTTTTTAAGTATTATTATTATTATTAATGTTTTTTGAGCAGCAAATCAGAATATCAGAATGATTTCTGAAGGATAGTGTAACTGGAGTAATGATGCCAAAAATGTAGCTTTGAAATCACATTTTAAAATATATTCAAATAGAAAACAGTTATTTGAAATAGCCTAGTAAAACTATTTCAAAATGTTACAGTTTTGCTGTACTTTGGAGCAAATAAATGCAGGCTTGGTGAGCAGAAGAGACTTCTTTAAAAAACATTAAAATTAAAAATCTGGTAGTATATAGTCAACTTAAATTTTTCTCTCATTTCTAGCTTTTAATTGGCTTAGAAATCAGATAACTGCTGGACAATAAACAATAATAATGATTTGTTTATATACTACAAACACTTTTTTTCACATAATAAGGCAGAATAGTTTCAATACTGTAATAAATGCTATGTCAGTTAGCACTGCATTGTTCATATACTTTATTTATTACCCGGAGATGACTTGACAAGCACAAATAAACCATATTGTCGCAATCGTATGTTTAATGTCTTCATGTTTCCAAACGGTTCTGTTTTTCTGAAAACAACTCTTTTCATACAGCAATAGCTGGATGCTTTTGTCCATATTAGGGATTTCCTGGTACGACTTTCTGCACGAGAGCCCCTCCGGCTTCGAGTATGAATGAAACATACACTGCACGGAATGTTTAGCGCTCCGCGATGTTAATCTCACCTTATTCTGGGTCCGAATCAGATCAGATCATGCACAGACTATCCTGTCTCTTTGAATTTAAATCTATATATATATTCACACCAGCTCTTGAAAACCTCTATGCCAACACACTTGCCCTAAAAAGTGCGGGGGACGAATTTACGTGATATTAAATGTGGGGGGGACACGTCCCCCGCGTCCCCCGCGTAATCTACGCCCCAGCATGGACCACTGGATCTTTGGTAAACTGTAAGGAACACTATATCGAGTCCAACTACCTCTAGCTTAAACTGATTATAGTTTGTTTTACTGGCGTTTTCGCAGCTTCCCTAGTAAATCCAGGCATGCAGCAGCTCTTTTGCCACTCGGTCCGGCTGAGTTTAGCGCTCCGCGATGTTAATCTCACCTTATTCTGGGTCCGAATCAGATCAGATCATGCACAGACTATCCTGTCTCTTTGAATTTAAATCTATATATATATTCACACCAGCTCTTGAAAACCTCTATGCCAACACACTTGCCCTAAAAAGTGCGGGGGACGAATTTACGTGATATTAAATGTGGGGGGGACACGTCCCCCGCGTCCCCCGCGTAATCTACGCCCCAGCATGGACCACTGGATCTTTGGTAAACTGTAAGGAACACTATATCGAGTCCAACTACCTCTAGCTTAAACTGATTATAGTTTGTTTTACTGGCGTTTTCGCAGCTTCCCTAGTAAATCCAGGCATGCAGCAGCTCTTTTGCCACTCGGTCCGGCTGAGGGGTGTGTTCCGGCGGGAAAGTGACGATAGATTTCAAACTCAGTTTGGGTTGTTTTAATCCTATGTCCAGGTGAACTCAATTCAGAACCAAATGCAGTCTAAAGGAGGCTATGAAGGAGAGGCCATGTCTGTTAATGTACAGATGCAGCTGGTGGATACAAAAGCAGGATAATTCGTGTTGTTGGAAGGGGTGAGTAAACCACTCTTTAGTTTCTACTATTTGAGGACTGCAGTAACATCATATCTGCTGCAATGTAATGCAATAATTGTGTGGTTTAGTGCTTAAGATCTGAACTGGAATCTAAAAGCTTGTAGGTTCAAACCCTCAGATGGTATAATCATGACCTTAAGACACTTACGCTCTAGATGGACTTTCTGTGTTAACTTTTAAATGCATTAATGTCCATTGTTATGAAACGTGTTTTTTTGAATGGGTTTTTGGTTAAATGCCTGAAATAAGATATTTTTTCAAGATATGTTCATGTTAATACCCCACAAGTTAAGCTTTATAACTCTCTCTGTCTCTTGAGCAAAAAGGCAATTATGCAAATAAATGAAAGAGGGAACAACTGTATTACAGTAAATGGTGGTTTTGTACATTTAAGGGATTTTACAGAACTGTTTGCATTAACTGAAGTTCTCGTTTATATGACAAATTTCCACAGAAATCAATGACTCGTTCACCAAAGACTTTCATTCGGTTAAGATCAGTGGCAAATTATGAGTAATACAAATTTCCGGTCATTCATACCCACAAATATAAATCATTTTACAAAAGAACAACCCAACTGTTCAGGTTCTCAATCCTAACATCATTGTAAAATAAAACATATATAGTCATAAACATCTTTTTGAATGGTAAAAAAATATGCACAAACCACTGCCTCCAAACTACAAACATTTCGTACATGCATTCAAACATCTAGAGTCAGAGCCATATTTAGATTAGTAAATCAACGTTAGATATTAAAGTGCATTTTTGACTTTGAAAATGACCTTTCATGCAGTGTGTAACACAGCTCTAAGTGAATGAAAACATCCGACAAAGTTTTAAATCTGAAAGTGCACCGTGTATACAGATATTGTTTCTCAAAAAAAAAAAAGAGTCGATTCGGAATCCTTTAAACGAGTCTTTTTTAAAACGAATCCCAAGCCGTTTCATGTTGGCGTCAACATGAAACATTAGCATATTGCCCGGGAAAACTTGAACCCCGCTTCCCTCAAACACTACAAGTAGAGTAAAAGTACTTATCCAAAAAGCTACTTGAGTAAGAGTAAAAGAGAAGCCTATTTAAAAGTACTCATGAGTATTGAGTAGTGAGTACTGAGCGGTGGATTCTACCCCCTCATAATAAACGCTGTACACCGCAATTTATAGATTTTAAAAACGTTGTACATTCTGTAATTCACATTATCTTGTTTGTCATAAAGAATGAAGAATATCTTTCATCCAGCAGTTTTAATTTTGACTGCCAACTCTTTAAAATACATCAAAACAGCACAGAAACAGTATTCAGTTGAAGAACAGATGAAAGTTATTCTCAGTACAATCATCCCCATTTAAATCATAAAGTTTGAAAAAATAGATTTAAAATCATGTGTAAGGCCACTGAGACAGCATGCTGTTGTTGCACATAAAATATTAATGTTTAGAACAGTGCAAATACAAACACCATTAGAAACTCATAGTTCAGCATCACACACCATGATATGGGTTAAAATGAGAGTTTTTGCAATAAAAAAAACAAGAATAACTAAACTTGATAATTTGTTACAATTTTGCACATTGTTCTAGAAGGATGGCATCGTGCCATACCTTTTACACATTTACTCGAATTGTTATGCTGATAATACAATTTGTAAGGAAAACTGCATTAAATAGCGAAGTATTTTTGGGGAAACTTTTTCAAAGGAAAACACACACACACACACGCGCATGTCTCTTTGCTGAGCCGCGGCGGTCTCGGTGAATCAGCAGCATCCACAACTGAACGGAACAAAAAGTGTTGAACTTGAAAATTGTTTATGCGCGAGGATCAGATCATGCACAGACTATCCTGTCTCTTTGAATTTAAATCTATATATATATTCACACCAGCTCTTGAAAACCTCTATGCCAACACACTTGCCCTAAAAAGTGCGGGGGACGAATTTACGTGATATTAAATGTGGGGGGGACACGTCCCCCGCGTCCCCCGCGTAATCTACGCCCCAGCATGGACCACTGGATCTTTGGTAAACTGTAAGGAACACTATATCGAGTCCAACTACCTCTAGCTTAAACTGATTATAGTTTGTTTTACTGGCGTTTTCGCAGCTTCCCTAGTAAATCCAGGCATGCAGCAGCTCTTTTGCCACTCGGTCCGGCTGAGGGGTGTGTTCCGGCGGGAAAGTGACGATAGATTTCAAACTCAGTTTGGGTTGTTTTAATCCTATGTCCAGGTGAACTCAATTCAGAACCAAATGCAGTCTAAAGGAGGCTATGAAGGAGAGGCCATGTCTGTTAATGTACAGATGCAGCTGGTGGATACAAAAGCAGGATAATTCGTGTTGTTGGAAGGGGTGAGTAAACCACTCTTTAGTTTCTACTATTTGAGGACTGCAGTAACATCATATCTGCTGCAATGTAATGCAATAATTGTGTGGTTTAGTGCTTAAGATCTGAACTGGAATCTAAAAGCTTGTAGGTTCAAACCCTCAGATGGTATAATCATGACCTTAAGACACTTACGCTCTAGATGGACTTTCTGTGTTAACTTTTAAATGCATTAATGTCCATTGTTATGAAACATGTGCTTTTTTGAATGGGTTTTTGGTTAAATGCCTGAAATAAGATATTTTTTCAAGATATGTTCATGTTAATACCCCACAAGTTAAGCTTTATAACTCTCTCTGTCTCTTGAGCAAAAAGGCAATTATGCAAATAAATGAAAGAGGGAACAACTGTATTACAGTAAATGGTGGTTTTGTACATTTAAGGGATTTTACAGAACTGTTTGCATTAACTGAAGTTCTCGTTTATATGACAAATTTCCACAGAAATCAATGACTCGTTCACCAAAGACTTTCATTCGGTTAAGATCAGTGGCAAATTATGAGTAATACAAATTTCCGGTCATTCATACCCACAAATATAAATCATTTTACAAAAGAACAACCCAACTGTTCAGGTTCTCAATCCTAACATCATTGTAAAATAAAACATATATAGTCATAAACATCTTTTTGAATGGTAAAAAAATATGCACAAACCACTGCCTCCAAACTACAAACATTTCGTACATGCATTCAAACATCTAGAGTCAGAGCCATATTTAGATTAGTAAATCAACGTTAGATATTAAAGTGCATTTTTGACTTTGAAAATGACCTTTCATGCAGTGTGTAACACAGCTCTAAGTGAATGAAAACATCCGACAAAGTTTTAAATCTGAAAGTGCACCGTGTATACAGATATTGTTTCTCAAAAAAAAAAAAGAGTCGATTCGGAATCCTTTAAACGAGTCTTTTTTAAAACGAATCCCAAGCCGTTTCATGTTGGCGTCAACATGAAACATTAGCATATTGCCCGGGAAAACTTGAACCCCGCTTCCCTCAAACACTACAAGTAGAGTAAAAGTACTTATCCAAAAAGCTACTTGAGTAAGAGTAAAAGAGAAGCCTATTTAAAAGTACTCATGAGTATTGAGTAGTGAGTACTGAGCGGTGGATTCTACCCCCTCATAATAAACGCTGTACACCGCAATTTATAGATTTTAAAAACGTTGTACATTCTGTAATTCACATTATCTTGTTTGTCATAAAGAATGAAGAATATCTTTCATCCAGCAGTTTTAATTTTGACTGCCAACTCTTTAAAATACATCAAAACAGCACAGAAACAGTATTCAGTTGAAGAACAGATGAAAGTTATTCTCAGTACAATCATCCCCATTTAAATCATAAAGTTTGAAAAAATAGATTTAAAATCATGTGTAAGGCCACTGAGACAGCATGCTGTTGTTGCACATAAAATATTAATGTTTAGAACAGTGCAAATACAAACACCATTAGAAACTCATAGTTCAGCATCACACACCATGATATGGGTTAAAATGAGAGCCCATTTCTCTCCAAAACGGTGCCAGTTTTAGCGTTTTGCAATAAAGAAATAAGAATAACTAAACTTGATAATTTATGTTACAATTTTAACATAAATGCACATTGTTCTAGAAGGATGGCATACACCATTTTTAAACTACTCAAAAAAGTACAATTACTGATAAACACTACTTAATTACTGTAACGTGAGTATTTGTAATTCGTTACTTCACACCCCTGGTGCGTCCCTGTCAGTTTACTGAAGACTGCTACAGCAACAGTCTTTGCCACTAGGTGCCGCTTTTGCAGCAGTAAAAATAGCTGTTTCCCGGTAACGCTGAACACAAAGCAGCGCTGCGCTCACAAACGCTGCATGATGAAATGGAAATGAAATCGAAAATTTCGTGAAGACAGTCGGTTTCCTTCAGATATACACTAATATAAAAACACTAGCGCCGCATTTTGATTTTGAAACGTGCAGTGCTCATGTTTATTCAACAAAGTCAAAGCCTTTTGATAAATCTATTTGTGGCGGTCAGTTCTGATATTGTGGCGAGTCGCCACAAATAAATCAATGTAAGGGAAACACTGAGCAAACTATATAGGGAATATAACTATAGGGAAATAACGAGAAGAATAACAACGTGCAGTAAACGGTCACACTGTTTGCACTACAAACCAGTGTGTTCATAATTAAGATAATACATTATTTTAATCTGGTAAGACACACAAATTTGCAATATCAAGCAGCAAAACGAGCAGTTTTGTACAGATAAAAATTGCTGGAAGCTAATGAGACCAGAAGCAAGACCCATAAAATTTACAAATGGCCCGTTTTAAGAGAAGAATAGAGCGGGGGAACTAACACTGGTTCCCTCGACAAAAACCAGTAGGATTTTTCCATAGGCTTTTGGATTATCGCAAAAAACAACAACTCTGTGTTCAACCATAGTTCGTGAAACTTATACGTTTTGTCCATCAAGATAATCTTCGCAAAATATATAAGATATAACTTTTATGAATTTTGATGCCTAAATACAAGCGCCAGTGTTCAGTGAAAAGGATTTACTCTGTGGGTGGATTTTAATCCACATTACATTAATCTTTTCATGGAATAAATACAAAACTACAGCCAAACTAAAACATTAATAATAAATAGTAGGCCTAAGTAGTGAATAAATGAAATAATCATAACTGAAGCACATATGAAAGCATGTATTTCTGTACATTTCAAAATAAGGTGCAATACATCCTTGATTAATATGAATATTTTAATTAAAAATGTGTCTCCACATAGTATTCTACGGTGGCCGTGAAGTGCAAAGCAAATCACAATTCTGAAAACAAAATAACAAATTACAAACGCAAATGCAAGTCTAAAAAACAAAATAACAATTCAGAAAGCACAACAACAATTCAGAAAACATTCTAACAGCAGAACAGCAGAGTCCTGGTAGAAAGTTCAGAGATGGTATTAAAGTAGCTCAGTTTAAATGTATTGTGTATATTTACATTTAGATAAAAGTGGCTGTAAAACATCAGCTCTAGTGGCGCAGATGGATAAGCGTTTGTCGTAGGCTTTTTGACGCGATCGACCAGGGTTCGATCCCGTCTTTTGCCGAACTTTTTTTTCTCCCTTTTCAAATCTCGTATTAGCAATGGATTCTATTTACACTAAGTGAAAATAGCAGTATTTTTAGCAATATGCTATTTACACTAAGTGCAAATACCTATTTACACTACGTATGTTAAAATAGCAGGGTTTCTACTATCAAGTATGCTACTTGTTGCAAATAGTGGCAATTATCTGCACTTCAGTATTGTAGTACATTATAAAACAGTATGCAATAATAACGTATTGAGTGTAAATTATCATTTTAATTATTAAATGGATGCCACCTTATTGGTACAAAGCCCTCCTCCCTACACCTACCCTAACCCTCCCCGATACTTTATTTTCAACTTTTTGATTATTTCCTTAATTTTTATTGAAAATAAATGCCTTTACGATGTGATACGAGATTTGAAAAGGGAGAAAAAAAAAGTTCGGCAAAAAACGGGATCGAACCCGGGTCGATCGCGTCAAAAAGCCTACGACAAATGCTTATCCATCTGCGCCACTAGAGCTGATGTTTTACAGCCACTTTTAACTAAATATAAATATGTACCCCGTATTTTTTATTCCATAGTAAGGGCAATTCATACAATACATTTAAACTGAGCTACTTTAATACCATCTCCGAACTTTCTACCAGGACTCTGCTGTTCTTCGGCTGGTTCTTCTCTGTATACGGTGATTGACAGATGTCTCGTCCAGTCAGCGGTGAGTAATCCCAAACCAATGGCGCTGTCTCAAACTATACCTACCTTTTCTGGTTTGTCTGATTTGTCCTTGTGTTTTCTGACTTGTTAATTTGGTTTCGAATTTGTCATCGTGTTTTCTGACTTGTTATAATGTTTTCTGAATTGTTGTTGTGTTTTCTGAATTGTTATTTTGTTTTTTAGACTTGCATTTGCGTTTGTAATTTGTTATTTTGTTTTCAGAATTGTGACTACATTTCAGCTATCGTGCCACCGTATTATTCAATAAAAGTTTAGTGCATTTAATCTATTAGATAACAGCAGAGTGAGTGAGTTTTTGGATTTGGTAAGATTAAATGTATTTTAGTGAATAAAGTACTACATTTCAGCTATCGTTTTGTTAGGTTGGTTACACACAATGTTATTTTATCCTTGCTTCTAGAAAATCCTCGTATGCTTTTGTAACAGCTTCATGTGGCCGTAATCATTTATTTTTAACGTGGCTTTAAGCACTATGCATCATTAAAGTTTCACGAAGCCGGTAAATGTGGTGTTTACATGGAATAATCACGAGTTTACCTTATGGTGCGAACCCGAGTCTCCGCTGGGATACATCAGGGAAAGAGATAAAACGAGCAAAACAAAAAAACATTGTCGAACAACAATATAAAACGCTGGAAACTAATAATTGGTTATTAGGAAAATACTATAAATTGGTAAACTGTTCGGCATGATGACGTTGAATGTCTCCGACAGCGCCTGTAGCCCCATTTAGCAACTTGTTAGCAACCGTCTTTTTTAAGAAATGTAACAGTTTTAAAAAATCACGAGTGGGGTGTAACTAGTGTGTTTTATGTCGTAGAACAAAACGTGAAAGTGCCTTGAGCTTGTGTGAACCACGGACCTTATTTTAAGGGGGTTTAACCAAAAAACCCATTGACTCGGGGACGATGGAACCGGAAGTGCTAAAATGCTAACTCGACTCCGGGTTTTTGCCTACAAAGTGACGTCATAGTTGCCCCACTCTACAAGGTGAATATAGTTTGAATAAGGGTTAGTATGAATGAAATTCGGACGCACTACATCCACCAATTTGTTACTGTCACATGACCTACCATCGTCAGTTGTGTCACTTCACGGATAGTAAAGTATCCATCGATAGCACACTTCAGAATCTGGGCGGAAGAAGTAGTACTTTTCACCTACTTTTTTTCGAATACTATGAATTCGGACAAACTACTTGCCTCACATACTGTTTATCGCATACAATATAGTAGGGAACTTTGCGATTTTAGATGTTTCCTATCTTACTAATACTGCCTCAGCTCATATCACACACAGAGAGCATAACTAGCACCCCCTGGTGGTGGGGAAGAAGATCAGCACAACATTAAAAACATGTACAGGCACTGTTAAAGTGTTAGTTCACCCAAAAATGAAAATTCTGTCATTAATTACTCACACTCATGTCGTTCCAAACCCCTAAGACCTCCGTTCATCTTCAGAACACAAATTAAGATATGAAGAGTTCATTTGCAAAAACAGATTTTTAACAATTTTTAACTCAATTTTTAACAATTTTCAAGAATCATGTTTTTTCATTGTGCATTCCAATTAATCTCAAACTGCAGTTGGGTTGTTTATTTGATTAGGTAAAAAAATAGCTTAAAATACAGATAACTAACACAATAAAGCACAATAAAAACACGATGACATAATAAAAAAACTTGATTTTCGGGGAAAAAAAAAAAGTTATCTGTTTTTGGAAATAAACTCTTCATATTTTTGATGAAATCTGAGAGCTTTCTGACCCTCCATAGAAAGCAACGCAACTACCACATTCAAAGCCCAGAAAGTTAGTGAGGACATCGTTAAAATAGTCCATGGGACATCAGTGGTTCAACCGTAATGTTATGAAGCTACGAGAATACTTTTTGTGCGTAAAGAAAACAAACATAACTTTATTCACCAATTTCTTTTCTTCCATGCCAGTCTCTGCCACGCTTCATAAAATCACGGTTGAACCACTGATGTCACGTATTAATTAATGATAGAATTCAAATTTTTGGGTGAACTATCCCTTTAATGGTTTAATTTCACTTTTAAATGTTGTTTGAACATAAATGTGTGTTGGCAGTGTGTGTACACAACCACACCTATAATGAAATATCGTCTTATTGTGATGTTGGGTGCCAGAATCGACATAATACAGGCTCCAATGTGAAATTTTATCGCATACCTGCTTGGTTTCGTCCATTAAAGTTAACCTTTTCGGATAACAATCGCGGTCCCGGACAGTGGGTGACCTAACATAAAAAACAAGCTAACAAACTTCATAGCTAGCGTCAGGGGAATCTTTTTGCCTCCACCTAAGCTCCGCCCACAGAAAAATATCACAATGTTTACTAACAGAAAAAGGGTCTATTAAAGTCCTTCCGATTTTCTGTTTTTATTTTATTGTTAGGTCTAATATAAACATGCGATTTATTTCCCAGCTGTTTACCTTCACAGACATAACCGACTGTGTTTTTGTAACTCCTGTGTGTTTTAACATAAACTTGTGTGTATTTGACATTTTATGCGCAATAAGACATGAAAGAGAACTTAGTTTAGTGCTCACATGCCGTGTAACAGATGCTTTCTGTGCGCTCAGAAAACTGTATATCAGAAGTTAATACTGATTTGATGGTTTAAAACACATGATTTCAGTGTGCTAGATATGATAATCAAAACCAAACAGATGTTTTTTAGCACAGTATCTGAGGTAGGAGCTGTAATGGCGCAGCTCTATTCTGGAAAAGGGGGCAGGGAGCAGCAGCTCATTTGCATTTAAAGAGACACGCACGAAAACAGCCTGTTTCTGCTTCCACTCAAAATAGGCATTTTCAGAATGATATAATAAATTATCTGTGGAGTATTTTGAGCTGAAACTTCGCAGACACATTCTGGGGACACCTGAGACTTATATTACATCTTGTAAAAAGGGGCATAATATGTCTCCTTTGAAGAGCGCCCTCATCTGCCTTACAGTTGCATGTCGTCTTCATAACAGTGGTTGCTAACAAGTGGCTAAAAGGGACTACAGAGTTTGTCAGGGTCATTAAACATCATCACACCGAACAGGAAAACTCGTCACTAATCACGCTTCTGCAAGTTATTCGAGCTTAAATGTTCCCGCTTGTGGACTTAAATATTGAAAGCGCTGGAAGCTTTACAGCAGTGGTCAACCTCTTTGCATGAAGCTAATCAGTGTGATGTTTTCCGCAGGGTCCCGTGATGAGCTGTTTCTGCTCTCTGGTTCCCCTCCAGCAGCTCCCCACGTGCCCCGGCGGCAACTTCTCACTTCATTCTTCCCCAGCAAACACATGGACAGTTGTGCGCTCCATGGTATAGAGGCCGTGCTGCCCGTCGGACAGCAGGATCCCACAGCGCTTCAGTGTTGTTTCCGTCACTGCTTCATCGCATGCCCCTCCAGCCTAGAAGTGCAAAGTGTGTCCCTGCTTTCTTCTGTGGTTTGCCGTGAACTGTTGCTTTTCATCGTGCACATCTGTGGGTCTGGAACCAATGCGAACAGTCGTTTTGGGTCGGTTCTCTGTTGTTTGCTCATTTCGCCATGAAAAGACTGCTTTTATTTTTGATTGAGTGATCAGCACGGAGCCGACAACAATGTTTGTATGAGAAAGTGGCTGCTTACAGTCATGCGGTGCCAAACTGCTCAGTGCAATGGAAGGACAGGAAGTACTTTGTGTTTAAACATGAGCACAACAAATGCATTTTTATGGAAATGTGATTGTTACTTTGCCGTTTACAATGTTCAAATTTGCATATCTTGTTTTTTTCTGTTTTCATTGTAATGATTTTTCAGATTAGCGTAATCACTGATGTTGAAAGGCATGAGTGGCGTTTCTCCTTCTGCTGTCTGCTGTGTCAGTGTACGTCTGTAACTTGATGTAAAGCAACTGAAGCTATAGATAGTGTACAGAAAAAATGTATAGAATGATTTTAATTAGTTCTAGTGCTCTTTATCGATGTAGCTACGATTGATTGTTTTTATGCACACTTAAGCACATTTAAAAATATAATATCAGATATAATTTTAGGGGGCAAGTGAACTTGACCTGGACATGTTTTTGTGAGATTCATTTCTTGACTGTCTTCAAGATTAAGCAGACAGATTTTCTGCTAATTTCCGTCAATTAGTTCAGCCGGCTGTGGGTTATTATTCAGTGACCTCTCCTATTCTTCACTCAGGTCAAGATGAAAATGGCTACAGTCTTCTGAAACCTCTTTAAATCCTGTATTGCCAATGCTACGACAAAATCTAACTATTAAATAGTATTTCAATTACAATGACAAAAATGTAATTATTTTACAGTATTGTCACACAAACAGTTTAAAACTCGGGTATGTTAGTTCCCTTCATTTTCGACCCAGTGTGGTGAGGTTTATGAATTATCATAAAGGATAAAATCATTTTTTGTGCTGTTTTAATAAGGCCTGCTGTGTCATAGTGAATATTTGTCAGATGAAAATGTAGAATCTTCAAATGTTGACTTTGAGAAAGTCAAAAGATGCAAGAAAATTCCCGTGTCGGTTTTAACATGGAATGCTAAATGTATCTGTGCATTAACTGTAGTCTTTCTCAAGTGCTTTATGTTTGTATGTACTGTATCTGCACTCTGTCTGCCGCAATACTCCCTTAAACTATTTCCCCTGGTTTGCTCCGGTTGTGTTGGGCGAGTATACAATGTTTTAACGTTTGCTGCTATGTCTCTGTCTTAAATTGACTCTTGGTTTTAAACTGAACCGAGTCTCTTTCTCTCAGAAGTATAGTAAAACAGTAATATTATGAAATATTATTACAATTACCAATAACTGTTTTCCATTGTTATATATATTGAAATGTGATTTATTCCTGTGATGCAGCGCTGGATTTTCAGCATCATTACTGCAGTCTTCAGCGTCACATAAATCATTCTAATATGCTGATTTGCTGCTCAAGAAACGTATTATTATTATAATTATGAATTAGGGATGTAGCGATTAACCGCGAGCCGGTTGAAAATCAATTAAAATATGTGAGGATTCAAATCGGTTGAGATGCTAAACAAATCACGATTCAGTTAGGTGCAGGAGTTTATATGAATGCATGTCTGAGGCGAACTTACTGTCTTCAGAAAAGTTTAGATTGTATTATTTTCCTCTTGCCTCTGTATAATGTAGGGATGCACCGATATGAAAATTTTGGCCGATACCG